CACGGTAGTAATCGTCAAAAGACTTCTCCAGTCGGAATGGGACAACCTCGTCGAGCGAGAACCGCACTTTTCCATTTGCCCCCGTGTCTCGGTCCTGCACGTGCAGCAGGGCCACCACCGTCCCCGATGGCGCATCCTCAGCGATCTCGCTCACCGCCGACGACACTGTGATTTCGGGGGCATTGTCGTTCACATCTGTCACGGTAACCACAACTTTGGCCGTGTCGAAAAAGCCTCCGTCATGTGCCTGCACCTCCAGATCGTAAGAGTTGCCTTCCTCGAAGTCCAGATTCCCTATCAAGGTGATTGCTCCCCTGTCGCTGTCCACTTGGAAAATCTGTGAGGCTTTCTCTGAAATTTTCTGAATCGAGTATTTCACGTGTCCATTCGGCCCCTCGTCGGCGTCCGTGGCCGTGACAGTGACGAGGACAGAGCCCACGGGCACGTCCTCGGGCACACGCACCGTGTACTCCGCCTGGCTGAACACGGGCGCGTTGTCGTTCGCGTCCACCACGGCCCCCCGGCCCCGAGCCGTGCCCGTCCGTGCCGGATCGCCGCCGTCCATCGCCCTCAGCACCAGCTCGTGAAACGCCGCCTCCTCCCGGTCCAGCGCCTTGGCCAGCACCAGCTCGGGACGCTGATCGCCGCCGGGGCCCGCCTGCACGGCCAGCGAGAAATGCTCGTCACCGCTCAGCTCGTAGCTCTGCAGGGAATTCAGACCCGAGTCAGGGTCATGAGCATCCGGAAAGAGAAACCGCGACCCTGTTGCTGTCGTTTCGGTCATTTTAAGCTCTATTTCTGCCTCTCGGAAGCTTGGAGCGTTGTCATTAATGTCCTTGATTTCCACCTGGATTCGGTAAACCTGCATCTGTCCCTCCACGATCAGTTCACAGCGCAGCACGCATTGCTGCACACGCTCGCACAGCTGCTCTCTGTCGATCCTCTCCGCCGTCACTAAATGTCCCGTCTTCCCGTGCAAAGCGAAATACTGCGTCCGACCTCT